GGCCCCCCGGGGGGGGCCCCCGGGGGGGGGCCCCCCCGGGGCCCCCACGGGGTGGCTTCCTCCTCCGGGCCCAGCTCTTGCTGCTGCTGCTGCTGCTGCTGCTGCTGCGCGTGCTGCTGCTGCTGCACCTGCTGCTGCATCTGCTGCTGCAGCAGCGCCCGCGCTTCCTCGAGGTAACTCTTCGTCTCCTCCACGGCCCCCGACAGATCTTCGGGAGGGGCCCCCTCTCCGCACTCCTCCTCCTCAGGGGGGCCCCCAAGGGGGCCCCCAGGGGGGCCCCCAGGGGGGCCCCCAGGGGGGCCCCACGGGGCCCCGTTCCAGAGCTGGAGGCCCCTGCTGGGGGCGGGGGCCCCCGACAGCAGCAGCGGGGGGGCCCCCAGGGGCCGCAAAAAGGACCCTTCTTCCTTTGAGGCCCCCAGAGGGGCCCCTTCAGCCAAGAGGGGCCCCAGAGGGGCCCCTTCAGCCAGCGGGGCCCCCAGAGGGGCCCCCTCGGGCAGGAGGGGCCCCAGAGGGCCCCCCTCAGCTAGGAAAGGCCCCAGGGGGGCCCCCTCAGCCAGGGGGGCCCCCAGAGGGCCGCCGTCCGCCAGTGGGGCCCCCAGAGGGGCCCCCCCAGCTGAGAGGGGCCCCCAAGGGGCCCCCCCTACTGAGGGGGGCCCCAAAACCCTGTGGGGCCAATTGCCGGAAATGGAATAGACAAAGTGTTTGAGTCTGCGGTGTACGTACAGCTCAGGCTTGAGGGGCCCCCTGAGGAGCTGCTGCGGGGCAGAGAGCAGCAGGGGCCCCTCAGCAGCAATTACGGAGAGGCCCCTGTCCCTTTTTGCTTCTTCTTTAGTACCCTTGGACTGGGGGCCCTTAGCAGCAGCAGCAGCAGCAGAGCGGGGCTTCTCGGGGGGCCCCCTGGGCCTCCTGTCGGGGCTGCCCTGGGCCCTTTTGCTGCTGGGGGCCCCCCTGGGGGGCCCCCCCTCCTCCTCGCGGGCCTTTGGGGGGCCCCCTGCTGCTGCCTTTTCCAGGGCTGCAGCAGCCTGCTGCACCGTGAGGGGGCCCCCCCCTGCTGCTGCTGCTGCTGCTGCTGCTGCTGCCAGCGCGGGCCCCACACTTTCGCTGTACAGACGCTCCAGGGCCTCGGGGCCCCCCACGTAGGGCCCCAGGGGGCCCCCCCTAAGCAGTTTGCTGCAGCAAAAGGTTTGCTGCGAAAGTTCAAAGGGGGCCCCTGCTGCTTCTGAAGAGGCCCCAGAGAGGGGCCCCTGGGGGCCCCCAGAGAGGGGCCCCTGGGGGCCCTCGGGCACCAGGGGGGGCCCCCCAAGCTGGAGGGTGCGGCCTTGGGGGGCCCCGAAGCGGGGGCCCCCCGCGGGGGGGCCCCCAGGGGGGGGGCCCCCCGAGAGGGGCCCCCAAGAGGGGGGCCCCTGGCGGGCCTCTGCCTGCAGGGCCTGCAAGAACTCCAAAAGGGTCATATTTAGTTTCCAGTAAATTAGCTGCTGCAGCTGCTGCAGCGTCAAGGGGCTGGGGGCCCCCTGCGGGTCTGCGCAGCTGGAGGGGGGGCCCCCCAGCAGGGGCCCCCTCAAGAGGTACCCGGGGGGCCCCCGCAGGTACAAAGCCCTGCTGGAGGCCCCCCGGGGGCCCCTCGAGCTATCTGTGGGGTCTTTCCAAGCTGCTGCTAATTCTTCTCGAGTTGTGTCTTGGCCCACGCTCAAGTCCCCGCTGCCAATTGCTTCCAGCAGCCAGCCCAGCTTGCTGCTGCTGCTGCTGCTGCTGCTGCTGCTGCTGCTGCTGCTGCTGCTGCTGCTGCTGCTGCTGCTGCTGTTGCTGCTGCTGCTGCTGCTGCTGCTGCTGGCTGTGGGCTGCTGCTGTGGGGAGGCCTCGGGGCCGTAGTAGTGGGCCCTGAGGAGGTAAGGGGCCCCTGGGTACAAATGGATGTCAGCAAAGACGCAGCAGCGGGGCCCCTGCTGCTGCAGCAGCAGCAGCTCCTGGGGCTTCTGGGGGGGCCCCACTTCTACCTTGGGGGGTTCTTCTGCTTCGGGGGCCCCCTTTTTGGGGCCATGAGCCTTCAAAGCAGCTGAGGAGGGCCTCGACCCTGCTGCTGCTGCTGCTGCTGCTGCTGCTGCTGCTGCTGCTGCTGCGTGGACGGCGGGGGCCCCGTCGCCCTGCTGCAGCTCGAGGGCTGAGGGGCGGCCAGACCCAGCAGGGGGCCCCTCCCCGCGGGCCTCGGGGGGCCCCCTGACCACCTGCTGCAGCAAACTGCAGCACAAGAGGGCCCCCGGGGGGCCCCCCTCCACTGTGAGACTTAGGGTCAGCCGCGCGGGCTGGGGGCCCCTCACCAGCATTCTTTGGTTGCACATTAAAATGCCTGGCCCGTGGGGGCCCCTACACAAGTCCCCCAGCTCGGGGGGCCCCCAGGGGCCCCCCAGGGGGGCCCCCCTCCACACTGCCCTGAAGCTGAGGGGCAGCGGCCGCACGCAAAGGGGCCTCTGGGGGGACACGGGCAGCAGCAGGGGGCCCCCGGGGGCCCCCGGGGGCCCCCCTCCTGTCTCCTTGGTCTCCTTGCTGGGGCCTTCAGGCGCCAGGGGCCCCTCGGGGGCCCCCGGGGGGGCCCCCAGGGGGGCCCCCAAGGGGGCCCCCAGGGGGGCCCCCGCCGGGGCCTCTGGGGGCCCCGGCGGCGGCAGCGCAACCGAAAGGGTACAGTGCACTGCCCGCGAGGGAGTTGGGAGGGCAGCCTCCAGCAGCAGCAAGTACCGCCCCACGTAGTACTGCTGCTGCTGCTGCTGCTGCTGCTGCTGCTGCTGCTGCTGCTGCTGCTGCTGCTGCTGCTGCTGCTGGGGCTTGGGACTCGCTGCGAGGGGCACCTTGAGGAAAGGCAGCAGCGGGAGAGAGAAGAGGTCAGAGCCTCCCAAGTTCTTGCTGGGGGCCCCCCCAGGGGGCCCCTCGGGGGGCCCCCCTGGGGCAGCTGCTGCAGGGGCCTCCCCTGGGGCCTCCCCCGGGGGGCCCCCACCTCCAGGGGCCTCCTTGGGGCCCTCCGGGTCCCCGCTGGCCGCGTGGGGGCCCCCCGGGGGGCCCCCCAAAGAGAAAAGGGGCTTGGGGGGCCCCAAAGGGGTCAGAGAAAGCCTCAAGTAGGGCCCCAAGCCAGCATCTGGGAGCTGGGGAAGAAGTATAAGGTAGGGGGGCCCCCCTGCTGTACCCCCCGCGGGGTAGGGGGGCCCCCCTGAAGTACCCCAGAGGGCCTCCAGCTCGGCTTTGAACCAAACTGTGTGGTGGCCGGGGGCCCCCCTTTCGGGCCCCACAACAGGGTACTGCAGCACAGCAAAGTTGAGGGGGGGGGCCCCCAGGAACTCCTCCAGGGTCAGCAGCCGGCAGGGGGCCTCGGGGGGCCCCTGGGCCCCTGCTGCTGCTGGGGGCCCCCCCCCCGCGCCGTCTCTGGCGGGGGCCCCCGGGGCCCCCGGGGCCTCGCTGGGGGCCCCCCTGCGCCTGCTCGTTTGCTGCTGGGGGGCCCCCTCCCCTTGCTGCTGCTGGGGGCCCCTCCGCCAGGAAACTGTGAGGGGCCCCGGGGCTGCGGGGGCCCTCAAAAGGGTCAAAAAGGCAAAGGCCCCCACCCCCACTTCCAGCAAACAAGACACGGGGGCCCCCCCCTCTGCATGCAGCAGCAAACTCCCGAGGCCCCTCGCCAGCCGCAGCGCCTGGGGGGCCCCCCGGGGGCCCCCCGCCAGTCTTGGGAGGCCCACGTCTTCTGCTGCTAGGGCCTCCTCCAGTCTGCGCAGCAGCAGCGACTGCGAGGCCCCGGGGGGCCCCCCGGGGGGGCCCCCCGAGGGGGGCCCCCCGCGGGGGGCCCCCTCGCTGGGGGGGCCCCCAGTGCTGGGGGCCCCCCAGGCAGCCGGAGGGGGGGCCCCGTCCCAGCCAGCCACCGGGGTGTTGGCCAGCTCGGGGCCCATTAGCAGCTGCGCTGCAGCAACAAACTGAGCAGCAGCAGCAGCAGCAGCAGGTGCTGCTGCAGCAGCACCTCCGCTGCCTCCACTGCTACCAGCAGCAGCAGCAGGGCCTGCTGCAGCAGCAGGGCCTGCTGCTGCTGCTGCTGCTGCTGCTGCTGCTGCTGCTGCTGCCCACGCGGGGACCTGGGGCGCGCTAGCCACCCACTGCGGCAGCAAACTGTCCACATTCAGCAGCTGGCAAGCTATTCCCTGCTGCAGCAGCTCAACTGTGGGGCCCCCCCTTTGGGGGCCCCCTGAGGGGTTGCTGGGGGGCCCCCTGCGCTTCTCCGCGCCTGGGGGCCCCCCGGGGGGCCCCCCCAGGGGGGCCCCCCCGGGGGCCCCCGGGGGCCCCTCCAGCAAAGTGGGGGTCCCTTCAAGAGACAAAATGAGGGCGTGGGGTCTAAAGTAATTGAAGATGCGCCTTCGTGCTGCAGCAGCAGTCTCCGTTTCCTCTGCAGCAGCAGCAGCAGCAGCAGGCGCTGCTGCTGCTGCTGCTGCTGCTGCTGCTGAGGGCCTCCTTTTGGGGATCTGCAGCAGACACACGGAGGCCCTCAGAGGCAGCTGCAGCGGCAGGGGGCCCCTCTCGTAGTCATAAAGGTCCCTAAGGGGGGCCCCCTCGAGGGCTTGTTCCGGGAGAAACACTGAGAAGGTGGGGCCCTGGCAGCAGCAGCCCCTGCTGCTGCTGCTGCTGCTGCTGCTGCTGCGGCAGCTGCTGCAGCGCCAGGTGGCCAGGGCCCCCACCATTGCTTCCCAGGGTACCCAGGGGCCCCCCTCCAGGCGGAGGCCCTCAGGGGGTACTGGCGGGGGCCTCCCAGGGGCCCAGGGGACTCCCCAAGTCTTGAGGGCCTCCTGCAGCTGAGCCAGCTTGCTTTGCTGCAGCAGCAGCAGCAGCAACAGCAGCAGCAGCAGCAGCAGCAGCAGCGTGAGCGACAGCGCTGAGCAAAGGAGGTGAAGCAGCACATTTGCTGCTTGCCCAGCAACACCGGCGGTGCAGCTGTTCGCAGCAGCAACAGCAGCAACAGCAGCAACAGCAGCAACAGCAGCAGCAGCAGCAGCAAGAGCAGCAGCAGGCTTTCGAGACGCAGCAGAAGCAGCAGCATCCCAATAGAAACAACCAAAGCAGCCGTGCAGCAGCCCCAAAAAACACAGCCTCACCTCTGCTAAAACAACCAGCAGCAGCAGCAGCAGCAGCAGCAGCAGCAGCAGCAGCAGCAGCAGCAGCAGGGGCTTACCAGGCTAGCAGCACTGTTGCGTCGGGCCAGCGTTGTGCCCCCAGAGGAAGCTGGAAAGGCCCTGGGGGTTTCTGCTGCACTTCCTGGGCTGTTGAAGTCCCGTGGCCTGGGGCTTGCTGCTGCTGCTGCTGCTGCTGCTGCTGCTGCTGCTGCTGTTTCATCTGCTGCTGCGGCTTTTGCTGCGGTTGGTGCTGCTGCTGCAGTTGCGGCTGCTGCTGCTCCTGCTGGCGCCGCCGCTGCTGCTGCTGCAGTGGCTGCTGCTGCTGCTGCTGCTGGGGGGCCCCTGTCGCCCCCAGGGGCCTCTTCTGTGTCTCCTGCTGCGGGGGGCCCCTCGGGGGGCCCCCCGTCTAGCTGCGCAGGCAGGGGGGCCCCCGGCCCCAGCAAGTGCTGCAGAATGACTGCTAGGGGCCTTTGGACAAGTATGGGGCCCCCCTCCTTTTCCCTTTTGATCTGGGGAGCAGCAGCAGCAGCAGCAGCAGCAGCGCGCTGCTGCTGCTGCTGCTGCTCCAGCTTGTTGTAGGGGTGCTGGCTGCTGCTGAGGGGAAGAGCTCCGCTGAAGTCGGTGAGGGATTCTTCTTGCAGCAGCTCGGGGGGCCCCTCGGGGGCCCCCCCGGGGGCCCCCGGGGGGCCCCCGGGGCCCCCGGGGGCCCCCGGGGCCTCGGGGGCCCCTCGAAGGGCCTGCAGCAGCTCGCCGGGGGCCCCCACGAGGTCCTGGAGGGGGCCCCCCCCAACGTGTCGATTCAAAAGAGACACAGCAGGGGGGCCCCCCTCCTTAACAGCAGCAACAAGAAAAGGGGTCCAGCCGAGGAGTTCCTCCCAGGGGCCCCCGTCCTGGGGGCCCCCGGGGGCCCCCCGCTGCGGGGCTTCCCTGGCTGCCTGCGCGTCCGCAGCAGCAGCTGCAGCAGCTGCAGCAGCTGCAGCAGCAGCAGCAGGGGGGGGCCCCAGGTCCAGGGTGGTGTGGCTGAGCAGCTTCTCTTCGCCGTAGCGGCCGTAGAGCTCTTGCTGGAGGCCCCCACTTGCTGCAGGAGCAGCAGCAGCAGCAGCAGCAAGAAAAGGGTCTTGGGGGCCCCTGCTGCTGCTCTGCGACTTGCCCGTGGGGCCCGGGGGGCCCCCCTCGGGGGCCCCCAAGAAGTTGGGGGCCCTCCGCCGGTTGTGCAGCACGTAGGCTGGCTCCTCGGGGGGCCCCTGGGGGGGGGGGGCCCCCCCCCCCTTAAAAGGGGGGCCCCCCTTGGGGCCCCCCCCCTTCTTCGGGGCCCCCCCCG